GAGAGAGAGAGAGAGAGAGAGAGAGAGAGAGAGCAAGAGCACTCTCACATAAGGGTGGCACCGGTCCGGGCCAGCCTTGGCCCTAACGCGACCCTTGGGCCCATAGGGCCGGCCCAAGCCTAGCCCTGACCCTGTTAGGGCCAGGCCAGCCCATTGCCAGCCCTACTCTCATAAACACAATATCTCTCTCTCTCATTTGAGAGATAGAGAGGTGGGGGAGAGACATGGAAGCATGAAGTTGGGATATTAGGAAGGAAAATGGTAGGTCAAGTTAGGTACTCGCAATGTGAGAAGTGAAAAATCTCTCTCCAAAGAAATCGCAGGCAGCTTTCAAGTAGCAAACTTCCCTGAACAAACTCCCAGGTCGCAACTTTATCACAGTGGTCCATTATGGCAGCACCTCACAATTAACCATCACTGTACAGTCCACACTGCTCTCCTGACACCTCTAGAGAGTGAGAGAGAGAATGTCTGTGTGTGAGATATAGAGATAATACGCAAGAATTCACACACTTTCCCTCTTACACAAACACTATGATGCAGATTATCAATCGTCTAATTTCACAAGCATGAGCAGAATAAATCCAAATTATTATCACGAAATAAGAAATAAGTCCAAAGTGTTTCATCCGGACTTTGAAAAATCTACCGAGTCAGCTCGGACTCGGCCGAGTTACTCATGCTCCACCACTCCTCCAACTCAAGGATCTTAAAAAAATTATTAAAAAAAAAAAAAAGAAACCTAATGTTACATGTTTATTTATGTGTTCTATCATTTTGGTAAAGATTAAAAATTATTTTAAAAATGCATAATTATTTTTATATTGAGTAATCATACTATAAAACCTTCCTACACCCACGTGAGTAGGCCTAAAAAAGTCACCATTAAATTTTGACACAGATCTTTAGAAAAGTTATTAATAAACCCATTCACCCAAGTCCCGATCCTTTGGGGTCCTACTCACATCGGTGTGAGAGGGTCTCATAGAGTCATTTCTCTTTTATATTTTCCTATCTTTTTTGGATTAGTTTAAAAATACCTCCACTCACAAGTTGATTTTTCCAAAATCTATTTTTTACTACTTTTTTAACCTCATATGCTTTGTTTAAACTTACTTTAAATATATATCTCTTTTTTTGTACTTTTTATTTTAAAACTTTTTAACATTACTGCTCTAGTACTCGACAATTCGGGCTGAGTTACTGGGACTCAGGCTGAGTACTCGACTCGAGCATGGGCCAAATACTAGGCCCGAGTCGTGCTCTCCCTCTCTCTCTCTTCCAACATTGGCAGCAATACATGCAAATCTCTCTCTCCATCTCCATCTCCATCTCCATCTCCATCTCTCTCACTCAGTGGAAGGCAGTCCCCTATATTCAATTTATAAGTGGCAAACATTATCTCTAGTGAGCCAAAAGATCCAAAGGACTCTTTGGCATAGCCCTTAACTTTCTGACATGTGGCGTGGGTTCAGTTACTTTGCACATACCACACACAAACACATGTTTATCTATGTCAGTATGCATGTATGTATGTGTGCACATGAGAATCTACGTAATTACATAAAGATATTCTGAAAGTTGATATATCCATTATACATTATACATATATTAAACATATATTAAGCTACTATTAAGGGGCGGGACACGTACGAGAGAGGAACCTTACCGAGAGAGATTTTAGGGTAGCGTCCCTAACTATTTATTAAAAAGTACCTGAAAATGAGAGTTTTCACATAACTCCTAATCCAATTCAATTTCTATCCGTCTAAAATAAAAACCTTTATTGATAATTTAATTGGATCTACATACATTAAGCCACAGTTTTAAGGACTACACACACAACAATTAACAAGAACAGGACCGTGTAGAGAAATAACTCGGGTAAGGTACCTATTGAGGAGGGGATCATCTACAAAAGGGAATTTAAGGTGGCTACCTCCTAATCCGATTCTGTCAAATGGGACTTCCTTAAAAGAAATACCTTCATTTTTTATTTCATCGGAATAATTAAAAGGAAATCTAATTGAAAAGGAAATTGTCTTTTTAATTATATTTTATCTGTATTCCAAACTTAAATATTTTGGATGGATGCATGTACTAGTGATAGAAAACTCATCTTGCCCGACTTAGACTTGGCCAAGTTACAAAGAATCGGCAGCCTACCAAGTCTGGAAGAAAAACCCCAAGACCGTTGAGTCGTCGGATCCCCTAAGTTTCTTT